TTCAGGTTAGAAGAAATGTCACTCACACATACTCTCATAACACGTCCTTTAATTGACTCATCATAATAATTTCCAATAACATTATAGAAAATGACAAGCACGTATAGATTCAAGTTTTTAATTTGAGTTTATGTTTCATATACTTTGTTATTTTTTAATTGTTCAATCCAATATATCATTTTCTCTGGTTATTTTTATTTTCAATTTTATTTATTTTTCTTATTTTACCTCTTTCACGCTTCTTAATCTCATTAATTACACAAATTTTACATTTACATTTATTTGCAAGAACGTATTAATCCAACTCTAAAATAGTATTAATGTCATGACCCCAAGGCAGGGTCATAAACATAACCCGTTAAATCTCAGCAAAAACACAATAAATCACACTAATTAGATACTCATGAACCATCATCAAAAGAAATCAACATGCATTAGTTGAAAATCATCCTTAAACCATGAGTATTACAAAATATGACTTAATTGTCATTACAAATATTGGTTACAGCAAAAGATTAATACATGAGAAAGTCCTAATGTATCCTAATGCTTAATCCTCCGCTTCTCCATCAGCTACTCCAGTCAGCCTGGGAAGCCGAAGCCTCACCTGCCTGATCTGCTCACGTACCAAGTACGGTCATCGCAACACAACATCACAACAACAATAATTGCAAGGGTGACCTTACAAAAAGAAACATCATATCAAAATAGAGTAATCTGAGCAAAACAGCAAGAAACAACAAATGCAGCCCAGCCCAGCTCATGCTCATGCAGCAATGAGAAACAGTACCCATCTGGCCCTTAACAGCACATTTAGTGGGTCCAGAGGAACTGTGTCGGTCCGGGAGCGACCCGTTCTGATATTTGGATCCAGATAGTACAACTCAGCTTTCTAAAGCCACATGACTACCCACCTAGCATGTGACACAAAGCCTATCATGACAGCCCTATCAACATATTAATAATTTCAGCAATAATCATATAACAGCTCAGCTATTTTCAGCAAATTCTCAGCAAGTACAGCATTATTAACTTAGCAGACAGCCCAGCAATTTACTACACGTCATATTTAGCACATTGGGTCATCCTTCCTAAGGTTTTTTTCACAGCATACAGCCACAATAGTCTATCATTCGGCTATCAAATTACTCCTCCTAAGGTTCAACAGCAATCAATCACGTCAACACAACAATTTCATTCCAAAAACGCAGCTCTAACTCTCTCTCAACACCTTTCATCACTCACAAATCACCAAAATGACCTAGGACAAGCTCCCCTTACCTCAATCCGATGTTTTTCGAGGTGATCTTGGTTATTCAAGCTTAGAATCCGCAAGAACTTCCCTACAAACGCAGCCAAGCTCAGAAAAATTGAATGGGGATTGGAGTAATTCGAGAAATCCCAAAAAGGAAACCATAGAACTTACCCAAAATGGCTCCAATCACTCCCATCGGCCTAGAATTGTGCAAGAGGTTGGGGTTTTCTAGTGATTTGGGGCAAAAATCAACTGAAAAGGCGAAGGGAAGAAGAGAGGGGTCGAGGGTTTTGAAAATACCCTCGCGCAGCTCTCCAAGAACCCTTAAATACAGTCTGAAACGCGACGCTCTCGCTACAGCGACAAATTCTCAGCGACACGCCCTCTTGCCACAGCGAAAAACTCAGAAGAAACTGTACTCTGGTTTTCTGCAGAATCTCACTATAGCGAGACTGCACTCAGAATGTAGCCCAAACTGTCGCTCTCTCGCTACAGCGAGAAGGCGACAGTAGCATGCCTTTCTCCCTGGGACCTCTCACTACAGCGAGAATCCCCTCGCTGCAGCAAGAAAGCCCTGCACCAGAACTTATGTTATTCATCTCATCTCAACCTCAGCTACTAACCAATATATATATATATATATATATATATATATATATATATATATATATACATACATATATCCACATCAGCTCAACACATAGCACATTCAGTTACAATTTAACAATCAATGCAATAAGACAAGATAAACACATTCATTCATGGCAAGCATTACACTCAAGTCTTATCATTCTGAACACATACAACCCAAAGCATTACAATTAAACTATGTACTTTATAATTATTAGTAAATTATGCTTACATATGAACTTGTATTTTTAATATAATTGTAAACATATGTTGTTATATATTTTTTAAATTAAACTTACCTAAATTTCATTGTTTCCTCCTTATAAATGGTTGGTAGAAGTAGAGGTAAAATAGAAGGTCAAAGAAAAGTGATCTCTCAACCATCTAGATAGCTAACAACTCCATTAGATACTACATCTCCTATCCAATCTAATGATTTTCAAAGTGGGACAACACTTAGTAGATTTTTTCATATTGAAGTTGACCTTTCATATGCATTCTATCATCCCATTTTCTTACTAGACCTACGCCTAATTTGCCTCTTAATTCTCAAAATAACAATTCATATGATTTATTACCCTATTTTAAGACTAAGCCTACATATTATATCTCCTAATTTTTATATTGAGCATATAACTAACTTCTCTTCGTTCTAAGACTAATCTTACAATTAGTCTATTTTTTTATTCTCATGAAAAAATATTTACACATGTGTCAAGGAACCTCTCTAATTTAGAATCCTTCACACCATATCACATTAAGTGGGGGGACGAACAATGAAAATGACTGAATTTGAATGAAGTTAATATTGAAGAATGTGTAATTTTAATTTTATAATTCATTTCAAATATTTTTATCTATATATTATTTTTGTATATATTGTTTTAATTTAAGCTGGCCATGTAATTAAAGTAATATAACATGATTTGAATCAGTTTTTAACTGAGTTGAATAACTTCACTAAATTGGTGTTAGTGTTATGAGTTAACTAGTTTTGCAAATTGCTATTTAATATCATATCTACCTCTTCAGTTGGTAACATAGGCTGAGATTAATTGTGAGAAGAGTCAAAGGTTTAATCTTCATGAAACATATTAGTGGAGAAGCTTGAAGAACCTTAACCTTAAGTTTCAAATGTGAAATAGTTAGTACTAATATAGTCAGTAATAAGATGTTGGATGAGATAAAAATAAAATAAATCTCCATCTTTTACAATGAATTCATGGTATGTCGACCACAAAGTTACATTTATTTGTTTTTTATAATGTTTGTATTATATATAAGATTATAAATCTGTTCCGAATGATCTTATGTCTCATTCTGTTATTTTATTTCCTTCACTCTTAATGGGATTTTTGTTATTTTAATTTGTAAAGATGATGAAATTTTTTAATGCTGATTATATTTGTTAGAGTTTTGATAACTAAAAACAAAATGCTTTATTTAAAAATACAAATTATATAAAATATTTTTTTAATTACTAAAAATTAATTGTATGGATTAATATAAAAAATTTGTTTCTGTTACATGATTAAACATATCTAATTCAATATATTCAATTAATAATTCATTCATTAGATGAATATTTTAAATCACTATTTCTCACTTTTAAATTAATATTTTTGTTTATTATACTTTATAATTTTCAATAAATTTTACCTAAGATTTAGAAGTATATTAAAAAGAATAGTGTTAGAAAGTGTATCGCTAACTTTACTTGTAATAATAATAGTAGCATTAAAGGTGATATTAGGACGTTAAGAATAATTTTAATCTTAAGAAAAATATTAATGATGATTCTGAATATGTTTATAATTTTATTAAGTAAATAGATATAAAAACACAAAGAATATTTATTGTTAATATTGTATTTAAATTCAATTTAGATTCCTTGTAAATATGTTACTACAATATAATTTTAGTGTTGTTAAGACAATTTTATTTATTTAACATATAAGAGGGCTAAAGTACTAGGGAGGTCTCTGTTAATGGGCCATAAGCAATTTTATAATGTGAGACTCCGACACCACATCCAACCCAAAAACCTTAATACTATTGAGTTGTGAGTCTTTATCACTTATGTGTTACTCAACTTCATTATTCTTATACAATATGAGACTTTTTTTTACTAATACTTTATCTCAATACTCTCGTACTTGAATATGAGTCACTTTTATTAATTAGGTATACTCCCTCTTTAATAGAATCAATATTTTTAGTCATTCCTTTCATTAATAAGTGATACAAGAGAACTACAATCACCATTATTCTTTTTAATCGTACCAACTGCAAATAATGTCTACAAAGACTTGTTGCATCTCTAGTGCAGTCATCAACTTATAGTAGGATGCAAATACATTTATCTCTAACTTTTATTTTAAAAAAAATAAAAAGGATGAAAATAAATCTGAATTACATGTGGGTTATAACATTTCTTCCTTTTCATATCAGCCCGATTCTTACTTTTCGCTCTTTTTTATCAAAGAAAATGTTAAAAATTGAAATTAGATGAAACTAATTTTCTTTTGTAGCCATTAACATTAATATGTAAGGTAGTACAGTGTCTGTGCAGATACAAAATATATCCCTTCTTAATTAATTATATCATTCTATCATAATATCAGTGGGGATTTTTTGTTTCTTTTTATTAGGTGATATATTAAAAAATTAATGGAGGAACTGAAATGACACAATGCAGCAACCAACGAAATTTTACTCTACCAAAAACAAAATCAGTAAATGGCCACCATTTTTTTCTGGTTTATTTTCATTGCCACCCTTGTCCTACATATACATTATATGATCTTTAGCATAAAGATAATCTTTTACGCTTTTGGAAAATTATTTTCATTGACTTCTTTCTTCTGTGAGTACATAGAGATTCGCAAACAATTGTGCGACTTGTTCTAATAATGTTGAAAATGGATATTCTCATGTTTAAACTTCACATAATAAGTAAAATTATGCTTAATGTTTTTGTTGTTGTTTATCTCTATTGTTACAAACATTAAATAAGTAGGAATGTATAAAAAATTAATAAAGAATGAGACAAATACAAAATTAACTACAAAATTAACATATAAGTTATCATGTTATGAAGTAGCAGTTGCAGTGATTTAAAACTGAACACGACCAACTAGCCAATAGGAAAATACAAAATTTATAAAAATTAATAAAGAAAGAGACAAATACAAAATTAACATATATGCTATCATTAGCAGTTGCAGTGATTTAAAACTGAAAAATGACTAACTAGCCAATAAGCATGAAGGCTGAAGCTCTAGCGCACATCAAAGGGTATATGGGAAGTGTGAGTACTCCCACAATGATTAGAATGTATTAGATAGGTGGTAAAAAGAATATCCGTGTTCACATGTAATAAAGCGGTTGCTGTAAGGTGTAAGCTCGTAATTTTATGTAGAACTGATTGGTACTCTCACTCGTGGTAAATCACACTCTATTTTGATTGGTAGCAAGTAACCTTGAATTTTACTAATTTCAACTATACCTCTTCTTGGTTTCACTGTACAGTATAACTCCAAGTACAGTGAGTGCATAGCCAAGCATTCCAATCATAGAAATAGGATTTTTGAATATCAAAATTGAGATCACCACAGCAACTGCCCCCTTTGCATTTCCTAAAACCTGGAAAGATTAGACAAAAAACGTATTCATTCAGATTCAATTTAGACCATATATATCAAGTGGTTCATCCAAATACCAAGAAAATTGAAGTTAAATGATGGTACAATTATGTTGAGAAGAATGACCAGCAAGTGTTTACTTCATTTCAATGCATGTAATATGTTAAAAAAATGAGTCCTTAATCTGTCAAGTAATTCCCATATGACAATTGACAAATGTATAATCGTAAGCCTGAAACATGAATTGGATGTGTTGTATTAGGACATACCTGAAGGGTAAGTGCACTTGTATATTTTGTTACCAAAAAATTGGTCAAGTTCACAAAATATGCAAGAGAAGAACTGAGAATCAGATACCAGATAATTCTGATATCCCTCCTGGCAAGCTCTATAGTGATCCAAATCACGTTTTCTTCCATCAACAATGTTGTAGGAAGCAAGACCATCATTGCTATAGGTGCCATATAAAGCAGCAGGTTCATAGAATCCAACTTTTCTCTGGAAATCATAATAGATATTTCATGTTGGTTAACAAGCTTAGTAGAAGAATGAAGGACTAAGTGATTTATTCAGAACCTAAAAGTTCTTTATTTTAGTTATATTGCGATAAAAAAGACAGAATAGATAGGATCATCACCCCTCAGATGACAACAAAATATCTTGAAGCACTGATTTAAATGCTCTGGCAGCAGTTGATGATACACAGATTATAAATCCGAACAGATGAAAACTTGGTTCACCCTGCGGCAAAAATGTTACATGTGAGATTGGGAAAAAAACCAATTGAATCCTGGGGTGATTAGAAAGCAAGTAATGCTAGAAATTGTTTTAATAGGAAGATTTTAAAGAACATTAGAACGGTTCAAAATAAGAAATAAGAAGAAAACAAGTGGCTGGAAGAACTGAAGTACGAAAGAAGGGGAAAATGTGGAGTGCCACATATAAAACAAGCCATGTTGTTATTAGTACTAATAATGGACTCAAGATATAAAGTTTGCATTCCCCTGAATCTTCACAAAATGGCAGCTCAAAATTTCACCCTCATTGCACTGTATTGAAATAATTCCAAGTATATTGTCTAGACTCGTCCAAACAAAAATGGAAAATGGTACCCGCAAAGCTTAAAACTTTTGGAAGTTTGGGACAAATTGTAGAAAAAGGGATGGTTAAGGAAATAAGTGGATAAGAGTTGATTTCCCATTTGCTAGTTTTCTTGTTGTGTATAAAGGAAAGTGAGAAATGTGTTACTTTTCCAAACACCTCTATCTAAGGAAGAAATTTGAGAGGGCGATTTAGTGAGATGGGTTCAACTTCAGTCTCGAGTTCCTTGTCTTCTTCTAATTTTATCCAAGCATAGGCATGGTTAAATCAAGACACACAAAGCATGTCCTAGTATGTGTTCTTGCCCTTATCTGTGATCTCTATAAAATTTCCAAAGCAAATTTTTTTTTTTAATGAGCATTGAGTTTAAGTAGAAACCTAGTGTCCATTTAGTTTAAATTTGAGCAGAATTGAATTTAAGCCATTGAATATAATTGAAATACGTGCATAAATTATCTGAACTGCGTATTTTAGTTGGAATGTGTGTGTTTTATTAGAAAGTGCAAGAGTTGATTTTCCAACTTTTAAAACAAACAAGCCTAATTTATCTAGCATTTTGCTCTTTTTTTTATTAATTTATGATTAGGCAACATTCTTTGTTGCCAATTGATACCAAAGGACCGCTTAGAAGCTAAGGAAAAAGTTTGATGATCTAGGCATATAAGCATAAACACAAAACAGGGAGAACTTCACTTGTTCTTGTTCCAATTGAAAGTGATGCTGTCAATTGGATCAAAATATTCTTTTCTTCCTCTTTGGAATTGATTTGTTTTATCATCTAAAGCGATTCAAAATCCAAAAGAATACAAAATAAAAATGAAATGGAAATGAAAATGAAAATTACATACCCCACTAGCTATGATGACACCTGCAACAACAGGCAAAAGGGTGGCATAAGTAACCCAAGCCTCTCTCTTTTTACTCATAGCATAAGCAAAACCGGCCGTGAAGAAAGGTGTGGTGGCTCCAATTGCCTGGTTAAACGACACCGGAATGTACCTGAGCGACATGTTCCCACAAACGACAGAGAAACAAAAAACGACACTGAGACCAAAGATTTTCCAAAACTGATTCTTGGACCGCACGCTCTGCAAAGGGACTATGTCCATGACGGAAATGGCAACGTAGCTGAAAAGAGAACACACCATCATGTGACACGTGGTGAGAAAGCAAGGGTACTTGAACCCGTAATTGCTGAGCAAGTACTTGTTCAGAAGGAGTACCCCAATGTTAGAGCTATACCAAGCAGTTACTACGCCAATGGTAGACCATGGGATTTCGTTAATCACCATCTGGGTCTCAATGGGTTTGTGCTAAATTCTTCTCTTAATTTCTGTTTTGCTGTGAATTCTTCTTCAAGGGGAGAGAAAATGTTTGTGATTAAGGAGTTTATATTGTAACGTATTTGTTAGAAGAAGGAGAAAAGTGATTGTTGGAAGGTGCAGCGTTCATCCCAAATGCATGCAGAGAAAGGGACCATACCAATGGTGATTTAGTGGGTCCTCACTCAATTTCAGAGCTCCGAAATTGACACTGAACTCACCATTTGGGATAGGTGCATGTTTTGCAATGGTTTAGGTCTATTCATGGAAACTTTATAAAAGAAACCTTCATATTTAAATATAATACTCCGATTCTAAACTACATACATTTCTTCTGTTTTTTTAATGCCGTTTAGAGTGAGTTTGACGTATAAAATTGAAATTACAATTTTAATTTAATGTTGGTGGTATCGATAATGATGCTAGTTTCAACGATAATAGAGATAATAATAACAATAATCATGTTAAATTTCAGAATTGCGATTTGAATTTTAGAAGGACTTCAGAACATCACAACGACACCTAATCAGAATTGGATACATTTGAGCTTGTGTACCCGCACGCAAAACCCGCCATTTGATGTGGGTTTGCTATCGACGTTTAGAGAGAGTTGCTTTTGGCGACTTTTTTTTTTCATTAAAAAAATTATATATTTTTAAAAATATCTTTCATGATGGTAAAAAAAATATTTATTTTTTATTATTTCTAACTTTAATGTAAAATTTAAAATTTAAAAATCTGTCCGAAATTGGCTTCCGAAAATTAAATTCTAGAAGCTTGTGTAGAAAAATATTTCCATGACTTAAGTTTGAAAACATATATAAAAATAATTAATTTTGGAAAAGTTGAAATTTTAATTTAAAAATTTTATTTTAAAAAATAGTTAAAAATTTTGAAAATTAATTTCCAACAATTATAAATATTAATTTTGGGAACTCATTTTTAAAAGTGAAGACCTTAATTTTACAAATTTATTTGTAAAAATAGTTAATAATTTCATAAATTAAATTTGTATGAAAAATAATTTTGCAAATTAATTTCCAGAGTAGAAAATCTTAGTTTTAAAAATTTATTTTCAAAAACATAAAATTTTATTTTTTAAAATAGTTGATAATCCCAAAAATTAATTTTTGAAGGTATGAAAATATAATTTTAACTAATTTTCAAAAATGTAAAATCTTAATTTTGGAAACTTATTTACAGAAATGTAAAATTTTAATTTCATAAACTTATCTTTAAAAACAGCTAATAAATTTAAAAATTAATTTTTAGAAGTGTGAAAGCTTAAATTTGGAAATTAATTTAATTTCCAAAACTTATTTTCAGAACAGTAGAATCCTTATCTTGGAAACTTATTTTCGAAAATAAGTAGTAATTTCAAAAATTAATATTTTAGAAGTGTGAAATCACAAATTTAAAAATTAATTTAAATATAAAATTTAGTTTCAGGAGTGTAAAATCCTAATTCTTATTTTTTTAAAATTAATAATTTTAAAAACTAATTTCTAGAAACGTGAAAGCCTAATTTTTAGAATATAAAATTCTAATTTTGAAATCTTATTTTTCAACAAGTGTGAGGATGAACAAATTGATGAAGGTAGACAAAATCATTATTTTTAACGATAAATTAAATTTTTATAATATATTCAATACAATATACATCTTAAATAGTAATAATATTTAGAGTATACTAAAAGAATATGACAATAGAAGAACAACAAAGTTTAGAATAATAAAAAGACTCTAGAGAAATACAATAGAAAGGAAGGGTGAAAATTAAAAACAATAAAATGTAAAATAAAAATAGAGAAATTTAGAAGTTATTTTAATTTCAAAAAAAATATTTTTCTTTAATTATTTAATTTTTTAAGGATATTTTAGAAAAAATTATAAAAAATTATTGTGGCGCAAAAAAAAAATGTAATTCATTTGTTACATAGCATGGTCCGTTCGTAGGGATGGCAATGGGTAGGGTACTATAGTACCCATCTCTATACCTACGTTTTAAAAAGTACCCGTACCCAGTCCCATACTCGCGTGGGTATGAATATTAATCCTCGTACCCGTACTCGTACCCTCTGGGTACCTGCATACCCATCTTGAGAAAAAAATATTTATAAAGAAAAATATGTTTATATAACTTCACATAAATAGCATAATAATATAAAAATTCAATATGTAGTTGCTGAACAAGGTACAAACATAAATATAAAACAAATATTCAAAAATCATAAATGTTAAATGTATCTTAATATAATAATTTTCTAAACTAAAATTCTTAAAAACAATAAGCGAAACTAAACACACAAGTTATTTGTTAGTAATAACCCTATCTTGTGTGAGATTTGATCGATTGTTAATGTTATAACGATAACGAAATAGATCTGTACAATGGTTGTTCCTTCGTGTGAAATTATTTGGTGACCTTTTATGACAATATTGACAACTAACTCTAATAAATAACATTTCATAATTGTTAGATTTTAATGAGACAGACATTGAGAATGAGAATAGAGTTAGAGTAGAGAAGTTCAATATTAACAACAGAAAGTGGATACATAAAATATTTTTTTTAACTTTTGAATTTAAAATTGTAAGAAAAATAATAGATTTAATTAAAATAATATAATATATATATATATATATTATTATATTAATACTAGTATTTTTAACTCATATACTATACGAAAGTATTTTATCAAAAATACAAATTTTTGAATAATTATTTTAATGAATTAAATATTTATAATGTATATAAATTTTAAAAGAAAGAATTTGAATAAAAGATAAATAGTTACAATAAAATTTTATAATAAAGAAATATACGTGTATATTAAAAAAATTAACAAATAAAAATTAACAATAATTTTTTATATTTATATCTTTTCAAAAACTTCTTTGAACGTGAATAAATAGTAAGAATAATATTATTTAGATTCAATAGATTATAGTTGTGCTTGTAATACATATGTTGCATAGAAAAATATTATTTTAAATTAAAATATAAAAATAAAATTTAAATATTATTAATAAATAATAAGTTTACGGTAATAGTAGGTGATTGTAAAATTTATAAAATATTTACAATATATTTATTATTTATCATTCACTTTATGATTTAAACATCAATATGATTTTATTAACAAAAATATTTGTGTAAAAAATATTTTATGTGTGTCATATATAAATAATATTTTAATAAAAGTCAATCTCATATTAATTATGTAATAATTAAATTGTATTAGCCTAATTAAATGATATAAAATAGTAAATAAATTTTTCTATTAAAAATATAAACCAAAATAAATTTTTTGGTTTACTTTATTATTAAATATATTTTAATATTAATCTTATATAACTTCACATAAGTAATATAATAATATAAAAATTTAATGCATAATTATAGAATAAAGTTCAAGCATATATATATATATATGCGGATATGGGACAGGGTGGGTACTTAGATACCAATACCCGCACTCATCCCCATTAAAATTTGCAGATTTTTACCTACACTCATACCCGTACCCCTATAACGGATAAATACCCTACTCATTGTGGGTAAATTTTGCGAGTGCTCATCAGGTACTTTACCTATTGTCATTCTTATCCTTTCATTTCTTCTTATCTGCATCGTGTTTCCTTAACATTTTTTTATATATATTTTGCCACTTATAAAATAGGTTAAAAAAAAAAATTATGCAGCTTTAAATCCATTTATAATGTAGTCCGTTCATCTGCAATTTGAGTAGAGCGACGACGCCGGTCATACCCCATAAACGCATACTTACCCACTTTTACACTTAAATCCATGTGCCAAATGGATGTTCATATATTTTTTTTAATATATATATATATATAGTACTATTTTAAAGTTAATCTTTTGAATTTTTAAACTTTAATTTTTTTTATAAATATTTTATTATATTTTTTAATTAATTATTAGATAAGATATAATTATAATGATTATTTATTTGAGTTTCATTTTAATGTATTATTTAAATAAAAATAGTTGTGTTAATTAGGGATGGCAATGGGTAGGGTATGGGTAGGGTACTATAGTACCCATCCCCATACCCGCATTTTAAAAAAATACCCGTACCCAGCCCCATACCCGTGTGGGTAGTACTTTTAGTCCCCGTACCCGTACCCTCTGGGTACCCGCATACCCATACCCGCCCCTATTACCCGCGCATGTCTAAGAAAAAAAAGCAGTTATAAAAAAAATATGCTTATATAATTTTACCGAACAAAGTTTAAGTATAAATAAAAAATAAATATTCAAAGATCATAAGTGTTAAGTGTATCTTAAGACATCAACTTTCTAAACTAAAGTACTTAAAAATCAAAAACAAAATTACACACATATTCTTCAACTTCAAGATCTTGTAAAACAACCAACTCCTAAACTTTATATTCCTGTATTGTCACTCTGCAAGACCTAAAAAAATAGCATTAGTTAATTATTTATTGTAAAGTCAAAATAGTATAGTTAGGCTATTTTACCTCTTCATCAGAATCAGACTCCAAATAACTGTAAACATTTATCTTTCAAGTTTACATATTGCTTTGGTCCAGTAATACCAATAGAAACTAAAACATACAAGTACATAATAAGAAAATCAATAATTAAGCTATCAAATTAAAATTAACAAAAATATTTAATTAAATAAATATATTAATAAAGTATTCAATACCTTCATTTTCATGTTTCAGCCAACTTTGTGCGCACATGAGTGCTTCTAAAGTATCTTCATAAAGTCGAGAATGATGAGGACTCAACAATCTACCTCCTGTGCTAAAAGCAGACTCTAAAGCAACGGTTGAAATTGGGATGGCCAAAATATCCTTGGCAATTTTTTGCAATATTGGATATTTGATTCCATTTGATTTCCACCACCCAAGGATATCAAAACTAGCACTTCTAGGCAATACCTTCTCTTCCAAGTAGATATCCAACTCAGACTTTGATTGCATATCATTTGTATCTTTAACAAATGAATCATAATCACTTAAAAAATTGTTA